CCCCCCCCGAGTTACCCCAAAGTGTCGCATCTTACCAGCCACGGTGACTCTTGCAGTCCGACTAACGATACTTCCGAGCCCCTCGAGGGTGGAGAGGCACTGGTATTCCCCCTCATCGGGGCGGTGGTGCCGCGAGTGCACGATATTGTGAACGAGTAAGGATCCGTTGGCCAGCTCCTGCCGCCGTTCATCCACCAGGGCGCCGAGCAGCACGCCGTCTTTCCTCCACGTAACGGTCGGGGTTCCGGACGCCATGTCCGAGCGGGCCTGGCAGTCGAGCCGGAGCACGCCGCCTCGCACCGTCACCGTGTCTTGCGGCTCCTTCGTGAACGTGAAGTCTGCGAAACCTCGCGGGCTCATTGAGGAGGAAGAAGAGGCCTCGGGTGCTGCAGCCAAGGGAGAAGAACACACGTGTTGTAAGGCGTAATGAATTGGAAAACGCGCTAAAGCGCTCCAGACGCGCAGAAATCCGGCGTGCGTCACTAAAACAAGCATTGTTTATCGAAACGACAGATGTGTCCTCCTTAACGGCCTTCCCGTCGACGCGTTTTATCAAAATACACCGGGCGCTCATTCCGTAGCGCATTAATGTTTCGCTAAACTGCCCTGAAAAAAGGGTGTTGTTTACAGCCAGGAAGCCAATTTGTCTCCCAGAGGCCGCCTTATTTTCGATCACGCCACGATTGGAACAGTAGCGGAACATAAAGAGATTGTTAGACAACAAAGGTAGTAAAAGACAAAGGAAAAAACGATGGCTGCGGTGATGGTTTATAGATTTTGCAATAAAAGCTGCAGGTGAATTGGAAGTGCCGTTTCATCGCTTCTAAATAGGACTCTTCTCCAGTGCTTAAAAGGGCAAATGTGAGCCCAAATCGGTGCGCTTAGCTTTGAGTATTTACATGAGGGCGTGTCTCTGAACTAACTAACTTGGAAACTATTCCTAATGGAATGCAATTTCAATTCGATCACCACGGTGAACGGAATCCCACCGGAACAGATGAAACGTAACGGCGCAATTGAACCGGTTCAAATCTGTCTGCATGCCTTCAATTTTGACTCCCTCGTAACAGTGCTACAGTGTAACATTGCTAATTCACCAGAACACTTTCCGATTTGTGGATCGAAATTTGAAAACTCACCTACTCGCATATCACCGTCTCGCATATTTCCAATTTATATTCACATAGGAAAGAGGCCTAAGAATAATAATAATAATAATTGAAATTGGACTGGCATATGGACAAAAAAAAAAAACAAAAAACAATCGGAATCGAGCTGCAGTGTAAACGTAGCCTTATGTGGTGCAGGATGACAGCCCGCCACTATCAACCTGTTTGTTTTCATGTTGTTATATTTAATGCAATCTTGCAAAAGGCTCAGATGGCAGCGAGCGGCAGCGACTACACACCCTCTTCTTGCGTTTGATGTTGGCGCCATGAAAAACAGCCTTTCATCCTGATCAGAGAGGCAGTTTGCATGGTCAAAGATTGTCACTCGGCGCCTGCGGGGTTCCCGGGAAGTGTTCGCAGGTTCCGTATAAGAAGTTGCATCATGGAACGACCTCGTATTTAAAAAAGGATCAAACAACAGAAGGCAAAAGGAACAACGTTTCTCTGCATAATGTCCCTGGTTGCATTCCATATTCGTGTGTGACTTGTTGAAGGCTCAAACATCACCGCACCAAATGCCGAGTAAATAAATAGTAGCCACATCTGAATTTCATTTGTGACCAAAAGTGTTGCTCACCTAACCGACCCTAAGCTTGAAATAGGATCGTAATGAAGTGGTATTCATTCACCAATTCATTCGCTGTCATCGTAAAGTGACTCCAGGGGTCAATTAGACGCAGTCAACTCGAGAGTGACACTTTGTGGAGCGCCGACCTTATTATGACCTTATTCCGGATTGGTCCATTTTTTTTTTTTGTAGTTCGCTGTGTTTTATTTTGCATTTGTTGTATAGTAGAATAGCACTGTTTGAAATAAATGAAAAAAAATATGTGACTAAAGCGTTTAATTACTCTATCCTGTAATTAATTATCTTTGTTATCAGTACCAGTGCTTTAAATCTGGCAATTTAAAGGCAATGAAAAACGTGGTTGCCGGTGCGCGAACAGCATATACTTGGTCTGTAAAAAAGAGGTTGGCCACCACTGCAAAAAAAAAAAAGAAAAAAAAAGTTTGGTTGAGAAAATATCCCAAATTGAGATAACAAGTAGAAAGAACATTTCGTTTCAATTTCCCGAGTATTATAGTTAAGCCAACGCAATGAAGCCAACAGATTTATTTCAAGTCTTCTCCTTTTTCATCTTCATCGACTGCTGCATGTCACACGTCCCTCAATCCTCGTCTGCCGCGCCTTCCCTCCGACTTTCTTTTCTGCCCCTCATTTATGTCTCTCTCTATCTTTTGCTTCATGGTTTCCTTCTTATTGATTCTCTTTCAGCAGTCCCCCTACTCTCGCTCAATCAGTAAATCACTATCTCGACAGCTCTATCTCTACTCACTCCCATCGGTCTCTCTGTCTCTCTCAAACACACACACACAGACACACACGGAGACACAAACACACACTTCATCAGTGTGTCCTTGTCCTAGTTGTCCTGCAGTTTGATGTTATCACTCGCTGTCTGCTTGCCATCTCTCTTCTCATCTCACTGCCTGGAAATCTTTTGGTGTCCATATTTCATTTACACAGTGATCAGCGCCACTGCTTCTTAAAAATAAACATATAGATCTATTTAACTGGTCCATAATTGACTTCCCCAGTTGGTATGCGAGCGTGCGCGCATGCTAATATGGCTGCCATTGGCGACAAGGTTGGTTCTTCGGCAAGCGTCGAACTCAAGGCCCGTGTTTTATGTTGGCCCGGGAAAAGCTGAAGAATCTCATTTCTTGTATTTGCTGCTCAGTCCTTGATGCTCTGTTTACTTGCTAGCTCTCGCCACAGATTCCATCAACAAATCATGAGGAGCAAAGACCCGGGGTGGCGAAATGAGATCCTTTTCTCGCCGGCGAGATTCTCAGTGTCAGTTTTTCATATCGCACTTGTATTCAATATTAGTTGTTAATGAAAGAAAAATGATTTCTGATGTAGAACATGGCAAACAAATCATATAGCCAGTTACTAATATTAAATGCACAATTAGAAAAAAAAATAACTCAAATTAAATGAATACGTTTTGTTTTTGGTTTAGTTTTTATAGGCCTGACACGACAAAAAGGCGGGACTCTGAAACCCATTTCATCGCGGTGATTGCGAGATTGAAGGAAACAGCCACCCGGGAGTTTGCATGGAGGGAATCCGAGTGGATGACAGCGATGCGGGCGAGAGCCAAACCCGTTTGAAAACAAACAGCAACTCTCCCAGTGACTGACATCGCGGGTTAGAGCCTGAAAGAAGACTGGATTAAGACTCTGGGGACCATCCAAGTATTTGCGCGTGCGCGTGTGTGTGTGCTTAAACGCTGTGCCAACTGAAGCATGCCAGGGTAAAAAAAAATAATGAATTCAAGAAAAATAAATCAAAGGACGAAAATGGAAAGAATACTTGAGCTGAAGGAAGGAGGGAAAGGAAGCGGGAAATGCGAGTTTAATAGCGCTAAATGAAAAAAAGCCCATTTAGATCACATACAGTATTCGAGCATGTAGTGTATCCAGCATTGCGACTCCCAATTTTTCATTGGAATTACAGGAAGATGCATTTTGACAAGGCCGATATTGCAAGTGCAAAGAATCCACTGCGACATTTCCCATCATGGTCAAAATTCTGTGAATTGATCATTCATCAGAAATGTCTCAATCCTGTCAAACGTGTGACAAAATGAATGGATAAGAATGTTTTCGACTCCACTTGATGACTTGTGTATTCATTTTTCTCAAATGGAGGGAGCCAGTGCCAGCCACGCTTATTTTTTTTGAAGGCCTACAGAAAATCTGACTTCCGTCGCTGTCTTGCTGTTATCCCGTCGTCCTTCGCAAGCCCTCATTCATGAAAACCCAAATTACGACTCTGCCGTCAGACATGTTTCCCAACCAAGGTCCCATCTGCACTGAGCTCACACACCAGCTGGACAGCACTGATGCGTGTGTGTGTGTGTGTGTGTGTCTGTTAAGCATTGTAGCATTAAGCCTTCATTAACAAGTCTCACCTGTCACCCACCCTCTGTGTCTCATTGAACTATAATTCCCATAATCCCTTCTGTAATCTCACATCTGAGCTTCCCAAACCCTGCCACGCACACACGCACGCGCTCGCACAAACACGTACACATTTGATATTTACACAACTAGTCTTAATTCTCTCATTCATTTTTGTCGTTTCGAGTGTGTGTGTGTGTGTGTGTAGTAGACAGAGAAATTGTGAACGATTCATTGATTTTCATTTTGGACAGACAAACCGTCAGATACTTGATTCATCCATGAGGATTTTTTTTCCCCCCCTCATCAAATAGGTACTATTCTGCATTCAGGAGACATGCATTTTTTTTTCCACAAATGAAAAAAATTAACCATGTGTCATAGCATAATATTTGTGGCAGGCTTTGGTCAAAAGAGCAGAAACATCAAGAATTATTGTCTACTTGCCGCCCTCTTTAACTGGTCGCAAGACAAGAGAGAGTTTTTGGGGAGGGGGCAGTCCTGTCTCAGGCTCGCGCACCGACCCGTCGCCCTCCATGCAGGACGTGCCACACAGCAAGTACCGCTTTGCTGTTTTTGAGCCCCACGTTTGAATTAAGATTTAAAAAGGAAAGTAAGCCAAGGCCCATCAAGCCAATGAAAACATTTCGTTTCTTGATAGTTGTAATCCTGCGGTCCACCAAGGCGAGAGTGGCCGACCTAATTGAGGTAACGGTACAGACCGAGGCGGCTTTTGCGTGGCCGACCGCCAAGTACACGGAGCTGGCTGCGCAGTGCCGCAAGGCCACCATCTACCCATTAGAGGTGCTTAATGAGACGACGTGGGCTTGTCAACCGCGCGCCTTTTGAGGGGTGCACGAGAAACTGGAGGGAAGCTGTGAACGGCAATAAAGGAGTTGGCACAAGAGGCCTGTTTTGTTTTGTTGGGGGGGAGGGGGGGGGTTTCCCATATGTGAGTGTGGGTCGAGGCCTGCTCGATATCTAAAGTGCCTTTACCAAACTTCTGTTGTTCGAATTCACTCTGCAAATAGAATGGATTGAACTGGATGGACCGCAGCCATAAGATACCGTACTGCATTTGGACATGATCATGTCGTAACGTTCGTTACGTTCGTTTGTCGCTAACTAGAAGTAAAGTTGCCATAATAAGGCCCCTATCAATTCTTTCATTCTGCGTCCAAGACAGCGAGCGATTGAATCTGACCCGAATTGTTTACGCCTTCTGCGACTCGCTGCCATCTTGAAGA